TGTTGTATTATTGTTCTCAAGTAGTCTATTAGAAACGACCGAGTGTTCGCGTTGAAGAATCATTTTGATAGCTTAACATGGAGTGAAAAAGATTATGGTAGAATTAAACGTCCAGTCTCCAGTCATGTATATATTACCTATGTATAACTACGTGTTTTTTTAGGGACGTACATAAAAGGGATGGCCCGTTCAATGATAACGTCAAAAGATAGCTGTACATGACCCGTCACAACGATTATATGAAATTTCAGCAGTATCGAAACATTTGAAACAATAAACAAATTTTCTGAACATTTGCATAACATAGTTTTCCTCWAAACGTCCACCACGGTAAACGGACAAATTATTTGTATACCGATTGAAAACACACATATATGTGTAATATAAGTTGGTTGTGTAATAGAAAATTAATTAACTCGTAAATAATTTCAATAGCATAATCGATGGCCTTATTTTTTTTATTATATAACATATTAAACATCAGGGATGGCAAATATTTCAAAATGACCTGATTTCTTAATTTTTTTTTGTGCAATTATAAAAAAATAACTAATTATTATAATAATAGACGCCCACAGCATTTTGTCGAGTGTGACGTTAGGCATGCATGCCACAGTATTGCCATTCCTGACATAATAATATACAATAAGTATAATGCGTATAATATGTATACTTACACATACCTCGAGGAGACGCTATTACATCTCGTGACCGAGTCCACTTCGGACAGGGACGTAGAGAGGGACGTGAAGCCGGTCGCGGAACTGGACCTGTGAGGCTGCGACAGTTTCCGACATTCCGCAGTCGACGTCCATATCGTCCGGTTTGGAGGTCCCCTGATACACTTTTGGTAGATCTCTCGTTCCTGCAAGAAACACCACGTTAATTAAACGATGCTAGACAACAAGATAATACATAYATACAGTGAAACTCACATACAATAACGAAAAGTCTCATGGTCGACAAAAAAAGGAMTAATTTTAAGAAGATAWTAGGTAAAGACTTTTTCGTTAATTAAAATTAAATAAATTACTTTAATTATTCTCAACAGTATATTATTTTAAATAGAAAAAATAGAAGTTATTATTACACGATGGTACCGTTGTATTTACATATACACTTACGTTTCGCACATACAGTACTTTGTGGAATTGAAGGTGGCGGAGTGCTAAAATCCTTCATCACCCTTCCGATAAGACGTGTTATAGAACACCTAATTTAATTACGACCCTCCTTACGAAATTTAATTGCTACGTTATAAACTCTATACTATTTCTATACAGGTAATTGAATGTATACAATGTAGATAGGTACTGTATTAGGAAACCTAGTTTTTTTTTTTACAGCATTAAATTTTAATTCTTAGTAACTTTGCAACTATATCGTAGTTATTAATCTGATCTAAACTAAACCTAGAAAAAAAATCCTGCACATGCCACTATAATTCGTGTATTTAAATGGGAAATACATATAATTATTTTGTGTAGGAAATAGATAGACTGTAATATATTATATAAACTGTACTACCAGTTATTGACTTGATGGTGTTCCAATATCAAAGGACATCATAAAAATATAAACTATTAATTTCTTAGGTCATTCATTATACCACACGACTGACCATACGGCGATGATGCCTCCTAAACGCAATTCTGTTTTTATTATTTTTATTACGAGAGCCGCTCCTATTCCGAACGTCGTCAGTGGTATTTATAACTGTATACGCCGACAAAGACTATTAACGACATTTTATTATTATTAATTAAACGGGAACCACCGTACACATCAGATAAGTCGATGCTATTATAGTTGATAGTGTTGTTGAAATAGACTGAGAGGAATCTTTTTTTTTTAATTTAAGTTTTTTTATGCTTGCATATACCAGGAATAGAAAAATAGTGACGTTTTTGTTGTTCAAAGAAAAATAAACATTTTATTTTATGATCTTGTGTTTATTTTTCTGTCATGCCACTATCTACAAAAATTTAACCACATATCTATATATACAAGGTAATTATTTACTTCCCGAGAATGCTCAACTCCTTACTATTTTTTTTTTTTAATAGTGAATTATGGAAATTCTGATACTTAGAACTTCCAAGTATACCAATATTATGGACCATATATTCAATTATCTAGATTTGTTATACCACTTACGGAGAGTCTGATGGCKATAGCAACTACTTTTTTAAATTATTATTTTTCGATTAAATTTATTGTTAATCGTAAACTTGAATTAACATAAATTTTTATGTATCTTAATTTTAAATCAACGTTTAAACAAATCAGGTTTAAGTTATTTGGCTTTTTATATTAAAAAGGATAGGTCCTTGRTAATGGATTTAGATGATATATAGAGTTTATGATGATTTTAATATATGAATAATTAATAATAAACTCCATCAATATAATATTATAATTCATAAAAATTATAAATTTCAATATTACTATTTTTTAATAACTCAAAAATACTGTTCGTTAAAATGTATTTTGATACATCAGCATTTTCAAAAAACTAATCTGATTAAAAATGTACCGAAAAAACTTCACATAATAACTTAGCTCTCCTCGGATGGTATACAAATAAATCACCATTATTTTTATAAGTTAATTTTTAAAGGAAAAAATGTGGATGAGCTGTGATCATATTCGGTGAATCATATTATGTATATATAAAAGGCAGTGTATAGAATGCAATATTATATTTAATAAAATGTCTAAGAAAACATTTCCAAGGATGATACACTCATATCGTAAGTGACTGGTATCTACATACTATTAAATATTAAATACACATTTTGTTCTTATCATTCGTGAGCACGATATTTAAAAACACGTCGACAACTATAATCGACGTTAATGTTATACACGTACTTGTTCGGAATTCCGCAAATGCAACTTGGCCATGCTGCCGTACGGGTACTCYTCGCCGTCCGGCAAATGAATTCGGGGCGGCATGTCCAATTCCAGATCCGTCCGGACCGAGTGCAATCGGACCTGCCGGTCGTGTTCTCGGGACAGCCCGTTATTGCTTCGCATCGTCAACATCTGCAGCAGAAAAACGCGGTAAATTTTATGTTACGACAACGCATTTGGTGTATAATTTTGTTATGTTTTTTTTTTTTTTCAGAACAATACCGACGCACTACAATATTATTATACGAAAATATATTTTTTTAAACGCGCTCGTGTAAACATTATAATCATTATTCGACATACTGGTCGAGTGTAATTTAACTATATAATATAGTAGACGGTATAA